CTACACTGTAAAACAAAACGGTCACAGATTTAGGCAATGCGAAACGACTGTAATATAGTATGAGGATTAATATATTTTAATAGGATACGAAAATAACTGCTCCATGAACTGTTTTGTGGTCTGACGAAAATTTCCCTACAATTATTCACACGTATACCTTGCAAACGAATAATAATTTTTAACTGATAACTTCGAAAACAATATTATATTATTATTATATTATAAACTGCAATTTTGTTCTATAATATTATATGTATAGTTGATTATTATATTCGTGATTCACTTGGAACACCTTCCTTTTTTGGGGTATGGGGGGGGGGGTTTATAAATAATACATATTGTATGTTTTACAAAATGTTTCTTGATCATTTAAAGCACTCAGTGAAAAAATAGTTAAGCAGACCTCACCGGCCACCACCCTCCCCGCTCAACTAGTGTGTATTAACTGTGTACAGGTACTAATATAGTAATATGATGATAATTGATAGTGATTTATAATATATATATATATAATATAATTATACATCATAATATATTACACTACAATACATCGTTTATAGGTAGCTACGAGTGGAAGGTATACTACAGTGGTGCTACTGCTACATCAATTTTCAAATGGCATTGTCTTGTCTTTTTTTAATAACTGCAGGTGTCGCAATAAGAACAATAATAACAATAATATTATACTTAAATACGGGAACCAAATTAAAACGAACCAATTATAAAACAATAGAACAACTTCGGCCTCGTGATAATAAAATATTCAGTATGTACCATGTGTGTACATAATATTATTATTATATGCCTATATTGTGTATAACATAAATACAATGTAATAATAATCATGTAGAGAGGTGTACATCGAAAGCCTATAATCAAATTCATAACTATTATAGTATCAAAATATTTTATTATTGAGTTCTTGACGTGTATCATTATTTTCGGTGTTCAACACTTCAACCTAACCTATACACCACCGCAGACCCATCATGAATAAATTATATTAATCCGATAATTAGTTCCGTTAGGAACGCGCATTGATTTTTTCTTGATCAGTTTTTTTTGGCACTTGTACAACAGTACGTGTTAACCAAAAACAAACTTACGTTACTCCTTCTCCCACAAATCCGAATTTTAAAAATTTTTTGTGAGAATTCCCGCAAACTCTCGGCCAGCATTTATAATTTCTGCTCCACCTGTTTGGCAGAAAATTTAAACTTTCCTGGTGTGAGACTGGGTTAAAATGACTGTAGCACCACCAATCGTCTAAAATCTAAATGGTAAACATCAAATACATTTGAAAATTGTTGATAGAAAAATTAGTAGCTACTCAAATCTTGTGATTTTTTTACCAGTTATCTGTAAATTCTGTTCCACTATTTACCGAGAAAATCAAATTCATTTATTTTTTGGGTCCCCAAAAAATTTGTTCATAAATTTGTTTAATTTGCCCATTTGAGTCACTGATTATGAATACTTACGTAGTTTTATATTGAACTCAAAATTTTATTAAAAATAACCATTGTGTATAATTATTTCATTATAATAATAAATAATATTGTACAATATACAGGTTTTAATATTATTAATATCGTTATGCATATTATATTAATATAAGCATATAAAACGATGAGCTCAATAACTCGCTTATCATCGAGTTGTGCATAGACGTCCGTAATCATCACACGTCATATAAGTATAATATGACCCAACAGAGAAGGCATATTTAATAAATACTTATTGTTTGAGGCTATAGTCCATATAATGTTAGAATATAATAATATGTAGCATTATAATAACTTATTTGCTACCACAATTTTACTTTTCTTTTATATTTGCCACAATGTGTGCACATGTCATGACGTATTCAATATTATATGTACATTTTAAGTACAACACAATCATCGTTATAGTTAATAATATAGTAGGTCTAGAAAAAATTTGTGTAGAAAAATATAAACCGAATTAAACCATTCCAAAGGATTATTCCAGTCAGTGGATTTTATTCAGAAAATATTATTGTTGAATTAAACAATCGCATACTGTGCGTGTTTTAAACGTTTGATTGACGGCTCGAGTTGTATACACATAAACGTTCGATCTGGACTACACGAGTAGTTCGTGTGTGGGTAAAAGAATAAAAAGCATTTTACACTTTCAAGAATTGAAAAAAACTCGCGAACGAATCCTCTTACGCAGGTATTTATATACTCTCTCCAAATATTATCATCCTTCAAACGATCTACATTCTAATTTATTCTCACTATATATAACATTATAATCTATACATCATCATAATTCATAAGTACTATATAATAATATATAATATGTACTTTAGACGGTACAATATGCATTTGACCACATCTGCGAAGTGAATTTCTACAATACGAAACGCCGTAAATTAATTCTGAACATCGAAATGATGTAGTAAAATTAGGATTGCAGGCACTCCAATTATGCAGCCAGAGATAAATGATAATGTACCAACGAGCAAAACATCAGTTTTTCCGATACATTCAGCAGCAGATTAATACTGAAAACCAGGAAATAATAACGAAAGAAATATAATTGAAGAAAATAATTCACCGAGTATAATTGAATCGAAAAATGAATTCTAAAAAAAAAAAACATGAATTATTTCATTTTTTTCACCCTATGTATGGACTTGTTACTTACCTTGAGATTTTATTTCAACTGGAGGTCTCGGAAGATTTTTTTTACGCGTCCACTGCAGTCGCTCACACGTGTTGGCCACATCGTCGTTTGAAAGCTGCATTAAATACTTTTTTTACGACTATAATTTGCTGCAGACATCGACACTCTGATTGGTAGTTATCGCTGATCGTAAGATCGATAAACAATTCATTCATAATAGATTATAGCTATATGGCGTATGAATATATTATCATACAAATAATATATAACATAATATACCCTATAAAAGTGAATATGCGATCGTTGCGGGAAGACTCATTCGTCATCCGTTTTGATAATTTCCCTCTACTCGATCCATTAACACTATTATTTAATATTATCGTATTAATTTGTTAACCATTATTTTATTAGTCTCGAAGATGCCCGGATCGTTACCAAACTCTTCTCGGATTTCCGTACACCTTTCTCCCGGTGAAATTACGACTTTCATTGTTTTATGTGCGCGGTCCGCACTCGCAGCTCACTAATATTCGGACGCCCGGTGGATACGACCATGACGAATCGGTGTCCGAATAATACATATAATATATTATTTTATCCAACGCCAATCCAAGCCCGACAAACCGCGATATTGTATCTAATAAGTGAGTAGTAACTAATAAGTATACGATGGCGAGTGGGCATATAGCAGAGTTGTAGTTTCTCATTAGGTATTTTCGTAGTGCTCGTATATACTTTCAACGAGTATTATCGTATTTGATTTTAATTAAAATATTTTCCATCCGCCACATTCGAAAATTATTGTGTGCGACAAGCGTCACTTTACATGCTATATACGTTACTACTTATTACTACCATATTATTATGCTCGCCGAAAGAATTGTGAACCTCACCGCCGGAAAGAACTTAAAAGGAAGTAGCGTTGCAATGAACACATTTTGAATGATTAATGATGAACATTTTATTAAATTATATAATTATTAATTTGTATATGTGTAGATACATAATAATATTATATTACTATAACAGACGAAATCAACATGTCTAATTTATTATGTAATGTTTTGTAATGCAGGTACCTAGTTGGTTCAAAAGATTGTTCTCTATTTATATTTTTTAATAGGTAATTGACTTGGTATAGATTTAAACTATTTAAATCAATTTGCAGAGTTATAAATCTGAAACTTATAAAAGTAAATGATTTAAGAAAATAACCAAGGTATATACGATGGGTGACATTTTTTAAGAAAAAACAGTTATATATTTTTTATTTTACCGAGTAAATAATTATGAAACCGTTGATTATATCATACAAATTGAACTATTTACTTTTGAAACTAGACTGCATTTTGTCATAAGCCACTAAACTAAAAAAGTTATAAAGACTATAAAGACCAAACCGGATAAACTTGTATGTTGTAAAATTAAAAAAAAAATAATATTTCATTATTATTTTTTTTCATTAATCGTTCGTTTTTTTTGTAATGTCTGTTAAATTGTCAAGTTATTTTATCTTTATTAGCCATAGGTAATTCATATTTCATAATATTGAATTAATGTTTACTTGTTGACTGTACCTATTGGCTATTATATAACTACCGTCTACCTATATAACACACGCCAAATCCTTGTGATAATGTGATGTTATTGTCGTTTGATTTGCTTGATTAGAATAATTTTAAAATGTTCAACAATCATCATGTTGCTGTAGGTACTTACCTTAAACTTGAAAACCTAATGTAACAAAGTATGACTTATTGCAGAAACAGAAAGTTGCGAATTGTGTCGTTGTTTTTACTTATACAACTTCCTAGATGAATTTATCAAATGAACTCAATATAGGCGTTACCTATAGTAAATTTTCAGAATACCTTGTTACAAAATCTGCAATCTGCATTTATTTGTTACGATCTTGGCTTAAGAATAGGCAGGTTTATCGTATGTGAACCAGTGTATAGCACATAGATACAATCCGGTTGATGTAATAATCCGGTTGTTGACAGATTGACATTGTTTATCACCGTACGTAGTTCACATGACTTCTAACAAGAAAAAAAAATTTAAGAGAAGAGGGAAATACTTAGTGTTGGGTTGTTGGTTGTTACCACACCGAAAATGTAATAAAAACAACAAATTACATCTTTTAATGACTGGTATAATGTTTATGTATATATTATTTTGTATTTACACGGCATAACTATACATGCACATTAAATTTTATAAATAAAAATACAAACAATATCGGTCCCAAAAAACACATGCAAATAGCAGCGGTGTCGTTTTCTATATTATGTTATACAGAAAAAAAACGTAATTGATAGATATAATAAGGAAATTAAGTTATACTTATTGTCTACAATTAAAATGTTGTGTATATAAGTTAACTTAATGTACAATTCAATAATATATGCGCCAGCAATGACTTATTATTTAGGTAATATATAAAAAAAAATACGTTCATAAATAAAATATATATTTATATTTCGTTTAATGAGCAACAATCTGAGTAGTGAATAGCTTTACTAGAATAAAACGCGAACGCGTAACGGGTAAGAGGGCGTAATATTCGTGAATGGCGTGTCGATAAAAATATATAGCAGAATAATAATTGATCGATCACATTCTCAAAACTAGAACAACAATGACGTAATATTCAATATTATGCTCATTTTTATTAAATAGGTTTACTGTCACTTCGACTTTGTACGATTATTTCTTATTATTAAAATAAACACACGTCGTATTTTAATGTCGTTTCCGTCCGTTTACTATCTTCCGTCCGAAGATAAAACGATGAAACAATCAAAGAATTCCCACGTAAAAGGAAGTAGAGTAAATTAACGATGAATACAGTGTCGTGTCGGGGGCCCAGTTTACAAATGCCTTCGACGACGAAGACACGAACTTGACCTCCTAATACAATGACCAATGTGACGTGCAACCATAACGATTTATTAGATTTTGATTTGATGATTGAATTTGTGACGGAAAAAACTGATATTTAGAACGAAAAATGTATGTTGCGGTGCTATGATTATTTTCATTATTAAAAAGTGAAATAAGCTATCGATTACACGTATATATTTTCTAATCATTAAAACGTTAAATAGGAATTCATCATTTACCTATTTTAAATCGAATCATCCTACAGTCAATGTTGTTACATATTGTAATCTACTAGATGCAGATGCCGAACAAAAACATATAGGTGAATTTGAGCAATTTTTCGGTAATATACTACGCCCTATTGCCCGACAGGCGGTCAGCGTGACCGGTTAAATCTATTGGTAACACGACGACGACTGACGTTCGATAACACAAGTAAACTTTGTATATGGTACAATGAATCTATGGGGAGAGGAGCGCCTAATTAATCGACAACTTGAACAGTGGCGTAGGCGCTGAACGTGACCTTTTTGGGTTCGTCGTAGGTATGTTGATAGAGTTGGCTCTTATTGTTTTTCTTGATCACTGACTTGAGATGTCCGCCATTTTTGGCCTGTTGTCTCTGCTGCTGGTGGAGCTGCTGCTGATAAAGCTGTTGCTGTTGTTGTTGCTGTTGCTGGTATTGGCCAAGTTGGTGATGTTGGTGGTGGTGTTGATGGCTGAAGTATTGATAGAAGTTGGCGGTGACAGATTCGCCGACGCTGTTGCGACGCCGGAAAGCTACTGGTTGCAAGTCCTGTAGTGGTGGTGACTGATTACCAGAAGTTATCTCACGGAGTTTGCCGAAAAACCGGTTGCCGAAAGATGACGGCTGCTGCTGTTCGATGTTCGGATACCGGCTGAATGCCACTGGCGGAGGATGTGATGGCTGGACAGCGGCCAGTTGCAACGGATGTTGTTGCCTTCGACCAGGGCCTGTGCTCCTGCTTCGAGTTCGACTGCTGGACCGAGATGATCGTCTGTGTTGTTCATACCGACCGTCCAATCTGTCGTAATCGGCTGTTGACCACAGTCGGTCCGAAACGACGGTTGTTGGCGATTGGCCGGAGGGTGACTTGGCCGGCGACTCCTGACTGGACTTCCTTTCCGGTTCCGGACTGGCCGGCGGCAACACAGCGCAATGGTTGACATTGACCCTAATGAACTGGCCCCTGACCACCTTCTGTTGTCGCCTGTAGTCTTCGCTACTACTTCCTTCACCATCGTCCGGTTTCACCTTGTATTTCCTCCTTTCCGGTCTCTGCGGAGGTGGTTCAATGCCACTATCACCATCGTCTCGGTCTTGATTATCGTCTCCATAAGATCGGTCTTTGATCGACGGCCTTGGAGATTCGGGAGTGCTTATACTTATGATGCTCGACTGAGACGAGTCCCTAGAGGTTGAGTTAGCTGCCGCCACCACAGGTCCCGCTGTTACTTCAATGTGCGTCACTCCGTCGGTATCGGTCCGCTGCACCAGGTTAAATCTGTTCACTTCAGGCATTGCCGTCAGCGCTATGTTTCCACCACTGACTCCGACTTTGCGCCTTTGCGACGACAACGGTCCACCACCACCGTTCGTGTGACCAACCCAAGGCTTCGGCTCCAACTTAATACGCCTGCTGAGCTCCTGGTACGCCCGGCACACGTCCTGCAGCCGGTTGTCCCTGCTCCGGACCACGATGGCTTCCAGACCTGCGGATGGCGTCCTCCTGGTTTTGATCACCCATACTGCGATACCGGGTAGTGCTGCTGCATCTGTGTGACAGAATGCCACATCAGTCAGCCCATATGCCTCCCGACCAGATCCGTCAGCCATCTCCGTGGAGACTGCGACTGGTGTCTGTCCACCTCTCAGTGAAGCGGCATCTGCGTCATCGCTGTCTTCTGAAACGCCACTGCTGTTGGCACTGTCCGACGCTGCACCTGCCGCCGTTGATACAGCTGCTAACGTTCCTGTCTTTCTCTTTGCGGGATCATCGTATGAGCCTAGCGACGCTAAGTCCTCATCTGACTCGAAACCCTCGTCGTCTGGCCGCTTCCTCTGGTACGGAACAATCTCCAGCCCAGCATCCCGGCTGCATGCTACTGTACACCGGCGTCCCGGTAACCGACCACGCTGTTGCTGTTTCTTGCACAGCTGTCTGACCAGCGTGGCCAGGCTGTCCGAGTCAGCAGATCCTTGGACGGGGCCCCGACCTAACAGCTCGCAGTCAGCCGTCGTTATCGTTGTTGTCACGCTCATCGTCACCTGAAACAACAAAATACAGTCATCAGTTAAATATACAGATTAATATATCAGCCGTATCTGAATCAATTAACGGGTCACTTTAAGGATTGTATTATTTTCAATTTGTATACAACATTACCCCTAATGAAAATAAAATTATAATAATATCGTATACATTTAAAACAAACATTTTGTTGATCTAGGTATAAATTTCTTTTTAATATATATCCATCTTTTTTTTTAATACTAGGATTATTTTTCTTATTTTAACCCTGATGTTAATAGTTTATACTTCATTTCATGGAACGGATATCAATTTGTGTATTCTCTAGAATGACATTTAAGTCAATTATTCATTATATTATTTTTTGTATATCACCAAACACCGTTTGGATTTGACTAAAATGACTTTTGGTTAAATATTTAACCACTGTATACCGTTGTAAATGTTCTATATGGGTTGAAGTTTATTTCCAGTGACTAGTTTTTCGTACAAAAAACGTCAATTGTATTTTTCTAGTTAAGATCACGCATTGCAATTTAAAACATTTAACACTGATAATATAAGTAATAATGTGGTTTAGTTATTATTGCAGTGGCAATCAGTTGACTCTCGTACTCGATACCCGCAGCACCTAATGTTAATTTGATGAAGATTAATTTTTGGTATAATTAATTTTAAGCGGTTTATGTGTTCTTCTGTAGTCAGTAATAATAAAAGAGAATGTGTCATTGGGCGGAGGATATATGTAAATAACCTTCGGGTGGTGATTGATCGGTAAGAAAGTGCCCCACCAGCGAATAGAACCGTGAAACGTACAACGACCCACAGATAACCGTTGGTTTGGTCGGGAGGGGTTCTCCTTGTATCTGCGAAGGGTAAAGAAACTGGAAACTGGCACTGTTTTCCAGTGACCCAGAACAGCATAGAGTAATTTGTAAAAAATGTATACTGACAGTGGTTTCTATACCGATTTAAACATTTTTCAAATTCTCAATGTTGCACTTTAAATTGTTATGGCTAATAGATGAGCTGTACATTTAATTTATGAGTACAGGAGTTTAAAATGTACGAGGAATAAGCATGAAATATGTTATGATATAAAATATTTAAAGAAAAATTCAATTTCTCCTAATATATAAACAAACTAAGTGTAATAACTTGCTTCTTTGTAAATACACAGTAAAGTAAATAATAAATTTACTTTTTATGTTTGACATAAATTAATTTTTAATCCAATTTTCATTTTATTAAATTCATTGATTTTTAATAGAAACGTTTGCTAATTAGTTCTTAAATAATATAATTGTATACTTTATTGGTATTGATTAGGTAAAACAAAAATATTTAAAGCAAAATATAACAATCGAATGCATGTATTACTAGGTATATGATTTCATATTTGTCAAGTATCTATGAAGTATTATATGTGTACCAGTTTTTGGCTCATTGCTATAATTCATGTATATGTAATCAACATTTTGTTTACAACAATATTACTATAAACGACCATACAGTTTGGTGTATTCATTTTTTATGATATTTTATATTATAATTGTTTACGACATGGTTAGTTACTATTTTTGAATGTGCGTGTTTCTGCGTGTGTTGTCATACTAAACACGTATGAACGATCTTCACTGCAGGTTATCGGACGAGTAGGTTATCGGAAGTAGTCACGTTTGAAAATAGATCATATTATCCTGCAGACAGTTAGTCGGACCTGGATCAAAGCAACGGTATTGACTCGGACGTAAACCCATTAAGCCTCCGTACACGGCCATAACAACATTTCGATGATAGGTCACAAACACGAGTAAACACCGTGGTGGTAATCCATTTCGGTATTCGTACATCTTCCTTTCCGGTTGACATTTGTATTTGTATTAGTCGGATGAATCTTTTCTGTTTGTTTAATGGATAAAAAAAACGCGTTTCGAAATACTTGTAGACCAGACGACAGTTTAATTACTGTTTAACTGGAACGTTATGCAACACCGTTACAAAAAAAAAGCATGGATCTACCTATACCATCATTCTCTCTCTGTCCTCTGTCTCTCTTTCTCTTTCTCAGCCCGTTTATTTGTAGGTGTGACCAAAAGTAAGCCATCGGTTGTTTATCGCGAGAAACGTATTATATTACACACGTTAAACCTGACTGACGATGTTCACGATTATATTTATGTATATATTTAATTATTTAACATTCGATACATTCGTTGAAGTCTCCGATCTGTATTTATACGTGAGTTATACCTACCTACCTATTTTATAAAAATCTGACGTCATCCGGAACAGAATTGGAGGGAAAAACTTAGAATTGTATTCTTGTATTGCGATACTTGCCGTCTACATATTATATTGTAACAAAATATGCTTTTGTTCACTTTTGGTTTTCAATTCAAACTTTATTGGTTTCCCTTGCAATATTTCAAAAATTACTTGGAGACTGATAATATAGGTAGACTATAAGTAATAATACCGGTCTAAGTTTTCATACACACTTGGAATGCGACGGGGAGTCAACTATTTGCGTACGATAAACTAGAGAAAGTGTTACGAGTGTACTGTGTACCCACTGCAGTCTGCAGACAAAAATGCATCAGCCGCAGGTTTCCATTAACGAACAATATGCTCTTGGGTCAAGTTTTTTTGTGGTGTTCGTGGTCTAGTGTATGTCTAAAAGTACGTCGGGTGCAGAAATATTCAACTAAAAAATTTGCACTAAATTACATTTACCGACTAAAGAGCGTTTACCGTGATAATTATATTTATAATACTATGTATATTAAAATGATTTCTCAATTTGCGCTTACAGAATTCGGACCGTAGTCACCTGACGTACTAATAGTGAGATAGCGAAGGTCAAAATGTACTGTGAAAAGAACGATCCAAAACGAATCACGTACCCATACCAATTCTTCATAACTCATCATTTATCAATAACGCTTCCTAACGATTAATTTTGGGACACCGATGGAGGTCGTATGCTACTTTTAAAGATAACGCTCGTGATCAGATTTTAATCGGTTGTACTGTTTATTTAACGATTAACATTAAGCATGGCATTGCAATCATCTGTTTTACAGCATAGGTCTCTTCGGAATATTAAGAACGATCGAAATCAGTCGAATCAGATTAAGAACATTCTTCGTTTCAAAGACGTGTACCTACGAGTCTATATGAATAAAAAAAGCTGTCGGTGGAAAATTGTAATTTATCGACCGATAACATTTTAACTGCATCATAAACCGATCGTTTGCCGAGTACAATTTGTATAAAACTAAACGCATACCTATTACCTATACTCCATATATATATATATATATATTTATAAATATAATATGCTCACTGCAGCAAAGAGTTCACAACAATTTTAAGTGCATAAAGTTTATGCGTATATATTTATAATAAAACATAAGGTTTTCAAATACATCGATATAGAGTGAGATTATTATTCTAGCACGCATATCATTATAAATTATAATATTATTCCCATATCTAGAGAACATATTATTAGTAATGTAATACAAAGAACTATGGCGAATGTAAACAAATTTAAAACGAAAACATCGACTGAAGTTCCGTGGCGATCGGATTTTATCAGCTGCAATTATATGCCTATACATAATATTTACCATGCTAAACGGTTCTCAAACACAATAATATTGTTCGTTTATCACGAAATCACTTTCGTCGTTGCTTATTATATCGACCACCTATTATAAACTATATTAAGTCGACGAGATTGCCACATGGCTATCTTCTTCTTTACTTCTTGCGTCGTGATCCATCCGTTTTCGTCGTGTCATCAACGAAATAGATGCCTCCAGAGTGACGTAGTTATACAACATTGTAGCTGTGTTCTCGTTTTATTTTTTATTTTTTCACTTTTATTATTTTAAGTAATAAATGACCCGTGAACACAGTGCTCACGAAATCGTCACACACATATAGTCCGAAGGTTCTTAAATTGCTCTTATTTAATTTTTTAATTTTTATTTTTCGAGCAATATGCTCACAAACACTCTATAAATGGCTTATGTGTGATGTAATGTCGTCCACATGTACAAACACACGTAATTAGCCGTAATTGTTCATCGCCCACCATGTTACGCCATCTGAATAATAATTATACACCGTAAACCAGTACGGATTCATAATAGGCAATCCGTAATATTATCACCAGAATCAGGTCGATATGGCAGATCAACTGTGTAGAACTAGTATTAATTATAACGCACTATACTACATTTCGATCGTATATTGTGTTCAGTGTAATGCCAAAGATTTGAAAACAATAATTTGTTTATTTCGTCTCATAATGATGACACAATTCCTGTACGATAATTGAATACATATAGGTAAATAGGTAACGAAAATATAAACATTACGTCACTTATATTGCTAGTTTCTCTACTAAGCTCTTTAATACTGTATAGCTATCGTAAAATAAAATACTTCACATAATATAGAATATACGAATAAATTCGTATTCGAAATAACGAACGTTTATAGGAACTTAAGCTTAACGATCATTCGTGTAAACCATATTTAACAATAGATTTTATTAGGCATCTGAAGATTTAAAATGTATACAAAACCAGTTGAAGTGTAAATTGTATGAAAAGCAATAGAAAGTGTTAGTAGTGTCAAAAAAAAAGATAAATAATCATCTGGGCCCACACACCAAATAACCTGTCGGCAAAGATTCGTCAGAATTGTGAAATTTGCGTAATTGTGAACATTATATTATATATTAACCGCCTTCGGCTTTTGTATAGCCTTTTATGCACGACCGTAAACCAAACTCTAAGTTTTATGTATATTTAATATTCATCATGAATGTGTAATTTAACGGTTTCGCTCATAAAAATGTATGAAATATTTCAGATTTTATTAAAACTTAAAAGCGTAAGCTTTAAAATACTTGAAGTTTTATTTTTACTATAAACATAATTTTAGGACCTTTTTTAGGATTAAATTTAAGTTTTATAAACATAAAATGTGTCACTTTAAT